TTATTATCCTAATGAGTATACAGCTGAAATTTCATTATGGAAAAATTGAAAATTTAAATGTTTGTACAAATTTCAATTTTTTTTAGCATGTTGTTATTTTTGCGTGGATTGCCAGGCTCAGGAAAAACTCATTTAGCAAAAATGATTAAAGAAACGAGACAGCAACAAGGAGGACCTGCACCAAGAATTTTAAGTTTGGATGATTATTTTACTGTGGAGAAAGAATCCCTGTTGAAGGAGCTAGAAAGGTTGTAAAATATACATTATAGTTTTGTTTTTTTAAAAATGCCTGATCATATTTTGTCTGTAATTAATTTTTGTTTATTTATTCAAAATAAGTTTCAGTAATTTTATACCCCTTTGCTGTTTAATTTCATTCAATTTTTGCTCTTATAATCTAATTAATTGACTAAATTTGTCTTGATAGTTAGATGTTTTTTATGTGCAATAAAAAACCTATATATTATGTTTTATTTATCATTAGGCAAAGCTAAAGCATAATTGAAACTACTTCCTTTCTAGAATAATGTGTTTGAATATATAACAGGTCATGGCAGGAAAAGAGCACATCAATATTTATTTTGTAATTTTATTTTAATAAATAATAAATTTATTTAATTTTAACACAGGGAACTGCGAAAATAGAAATGAATACGAGTATGATGCTACAATGGAAAAATCATATAGAGATTCATTGATCAAATCATTCAAGAAGACTATTATTGATGGTTTCTTCAATTTTGTTATTGTAGATTGTATAAATAACGAATTAAAACATTACGAAGAAATGTGGTTTATTTGCAAAGCAAAAGAACTGGCAGGTACTTGAATTAATATTAACATATATTTTTTGATGAAACACGGTGAAAATAGTTGTAGTGAAAAATTAAGAAATAAGAAATTTTACTAGTAATAAACGTTACATACATTACTTACATTAACTGAATTAATAAATTTTATTAATTGACAATCATTGTCATTTATTTCTAGGTTTATATTTGCCAATTAGAATTGGATTTGCAATATGCTCTGAAACACAATATTCATGAACGTTCTGAGGAGACATCTCTAATATGATTAAAATTGGGAGCCTACACCAAAGGAGCAAACTCAACTTGATGCTACTTCCATGTTACAAAGAGCTTCTATAAATGAAGTTGAAATGGAAGATGCTTTTGAGGAACTAAGTGATAACGATGATATTTTGCATGACGATGGTAACAATGGCGATGAAGGCAATGACGATGAAGATGATGAGGTTAGATTAATCTCTATTTGATTTTGGTAACATATTTGTGATTTATTTATGTCTGATATTTATGATGTGAAAGTAGTCAAAATTATGCAAATTCAAATGCATATATATATATATATATATATATATATAACTCAAATTAGTTATTAACCATTCTATGAAGTTAACATTTATTCTTTAACTGTGAATATTATAACTGGTGTAAGTTATGATACTTCTCTGTGTTGAAAATATTAGTTTCATTATTAGAGAAATCTAGTTTAATTTCAAAATCATCCCTAATATATGTTAACCACAGCACCTTTTTATACTTTTTATAGTTAATCTACATATTAATTTAATTAAAAAGCATGATAGGGAGTGATAGTATTGATTGTAAATATCAGGACATAAATTAGAAAAAGAAATCTCTAGTAGTTTGAAAATTCTGAGCTTTTAAGTGCAACCCAAAGCTTTCATCAAATTGAGACAATTTCTTTAGTTATTGTGGTTTTTTTTTATTATTTTTATTTAAACTTTGAATCTGTAACTAAAAATAACACTTCTAGGACCACAAATAATGATATGGCTTTTGTTTTAAAAAATTAAGACTTTTTGTTTTGTTAAAATATGAATTTTGTTGAACTATGATTTCTTAAAAAAAATATACATAATTAATCAGGATTGTGAACTGGTCAAATTCTTGAAAGTTTCATAATAAAAAAAGAAAAAATTTAAAAACGTAATTATAACACAAAATTTGCTGATGCATTTTGTACACATTTGTCATTATTTTTGAATGTGGTCCTATAAATGTTATTTACTGTTTCGGTTTCAAAGTTTAAATGAACAAAATGATAATATTTAACTACAATAAATAAAAAATATGCACAGTTTGACCAAAGTTCTGAGTTGCACTTATTAATCGTTCATAATTTTTGAACTATTTGAGATGTTATTTTTTCACAATAGTTCTAATCGATACTAAAACCCTGTTGGGGCTTAATGTTGAGTTCTAGGACATGTTTATATATATGTATATAATATATATATATATATATATATATATATATATATATATATATATATTTATATATATCGATTTCGATTTATATCGATTTATATGCATTTCGAATATATTGATTTATATGGGTCAAAAAAAGTTGCTTAGGCACATCTCATTTCCGGATACTAGGGATAAAAATAAGATACTTTGCAGAAGAAACCTAAAATGAATTTTGATGTCCTGTGTATTGGGACCCCCCCTTATGTCAATGCACGGGACATCAGAATTCGTTTTAGAGGTATGGTTTCTTCATCAAAGTATCTTATTTTGATCACTAGCATCCGAAAATCATCTGTGTCTAAGTGACCCTAAAATCGACCCGCCCTAATATATATATATATATATATATATATATATATATATATATAAGCGTGCTTTTTAATAACGTTAATTAATGATTTTTATTTAATTTTAATTCATAAATGCGAAACATAGTTTATAATTGAAAGTATAATTGAACTTTAGCAGTTCCAAAATTAATGTTTTCTATAAGCGAAGTAATAGTTGATAAAACATATTTCATCATGCTTGCGTAATTTAGACTACCTTCATGTTATAATATTGATTATTATTCAAAGGGTATATAATGTTTGCAATTATTTTTTAAAATAATTATGAAATGTATGTATGTATGTACGTAATTACTACTAATTTTTTGTGGCAAATTCAACTTAATATGAATCGCGAGCATCTATTGGATGGTCATTTTATGTGGCTTCAAACAGTGTTTCAAGTTACTTATTACTTTATATAATGCGAATTTTTTCCAAGATATATCTTAAACATTTAAGATTTCTCAGGATAACATCTTTAGGAGCAAATGGGATAACACTGATCAGAATGATGACCATTTAGGTTAGTATCAATTTTATTTTATCATTTGTATTAATAGCAAGCATAAGCAATACTGTGATTACTTATGTAATTTTGTCATCTCAAATTATCGGTTCAGTTTATAATATAAGGTTCAATATATATTTAGTTTAGCCATATTTTTAGTGTATAAAAATTCATATTATAATTTATTATTTTATATTTAATTTAGATATAACTGAAAATTTACAACATAATTCATAAAAAACAGTGAAGAATCCGATTTATTGATAATTTTATTTTATTTGAATTGTTTAACCTTTTTTTAAATATTTGCGGTCACAACAATGAACGCAAATTGTTCAGTTTTCAAACTGAATATTTAAAATAAAATTTTTGTTGGATTGAATAAAGAAATTTTCTATACCAATATTTAGACCATTTTTTCGAAAATTATAGATATATTAATTTGAATTTGACCAAACCGCAATGCATGGAACAGTTCAACTCTAAAATACTTTTTAATATATAGAAGCTCTTTTCAAGTGAACATTTTACATTCTTTGCAGAATTGCGCGATGGTACGAATTTATAATTTTTAGGTGATAATGTTTTTTCACTCGTTTCATTTATATTTGAAGAGCGCTTTTTTAAAATTCATGTCATAACTTTAACTTTAAGAATATGTTTTGCTATTACCTTAATTTAATTTTGTCTTGATTCCGTTCCAGCCCGCCTCGACGGAACCAGTAAACCGCTTCGTCACCAAACCATGGAAGAATACCTCGCAGCTGATTGGGAACCAAACACAAGCACTTCCGGGAAAAGAGAGTGAGCATATTTTGCTTTAAATGATGATTAGGTTGACAGTCGAAACAAACCCGTTTTACTCTTATTGAAAAGAATTATTTTTGAGCAATATTATGAATATAATTAAAAAAAGCTAAATTTAAAGATAGTTGTATGATAGTTCGAAATACAGTAGAACCTCGATTAACCTAACTAAAGGACTAATTGTTGTCCATAGGCATCCGTATAATCAAAAAACCGTATAGTTGAATGTATGAAGAATAATGTTGTGTATCAACGAAAATAATGTTTATTAAGAAATTGAAACTTCTTTATGCATGTACACAGGGCCGGTCCTGGGGTCCTTTGCGCCCGCATGCAACTTTTTTCTAGCGCCCCCCCCCCCCCCCCCTATTAATTTTAACTGTTTTAACAGTTTATCATTAAAATTATATAAATATTTACAATTTTTTTTAAAGTAATTTTTAATTTGATTAGATTTAGTACACGAAAAATAAGATATAATCTAAAAGAGTATAAAATACATTAATTTTAAATGTATGTAGAAAATCGAGGTAATTTGCGGGTTGATTATAATCAAATATATTTAAAATTTCAATTATTTTTAACGTATGTGCAATATTAATATTTGGGATTTGAAACATTTTACTTATTTATTGTGCGATTTATTCTATTGAGCAAATCATGCCAAGACAACTAAAGAAAACTAGCTTGTCGTTTTCATCATCATAACACTCGTATTTCATATTGGATTTTTTAATTTTTTATTTAATTTTATTTTTCACAATATCCAAAATTGCGTCGTAAACTTCTCCTTATTGATATCATAGGAGCCGAATTGTATTCATCCTTGCTTTCTCGTTATATTCAGATTATCAGATTGTTGTTTTAAAGTTAAATTTTATTATTATTTTTTTATTTTAGAAGTATTGTCCAAAAATGAGTAAAAAATGCAAAGAAATTACTCATTTCTTTAACTATATTGACAAAAAACTAATCATATTTGATATGTTTTATTTCTGCAGAGTTAATAATTATTAAGTTTAGAGTATGGACACCACAAGGTATAAAAAAAGCCTTAAGATTTTCGTTCCAAAGTAAATTTTGCTTTCATTTTTCATATTTGTTTCATTTCCATAACTCTAACCACGCACGCATGTCTTTAATATTCAAAGTTCATCAGATGCGAAACATTTGCAACAAAAACAAAAGTTACAATTCAATTTTTCGGAATAAACATGCCATTTTTTAAGAAATGACTCCCCATTTTTCATTTTCCCGATTATAATTTATTTATATTTTTTACCAAGTTCTGTTTCAACAAAATCAGCTCGTAATTTTTCGTCAATAATGCCCAATAATTAATTTAATTTTTCGCAGCTTTGCGCTTATGGGCAAACTAGATAATTCCTTTTTCGATTCCACGGTAACTTCAAACAAAGAAAAAATTGAATAAGTAGATTAAGCAATAAACAGAGTTGTTATTTACTCATTTGCAGAGTAATTAATAGGTTAATTGTTTCTACTAATATCACATTGCAGTCTCCGTATCTATAATTCATTTAGAGTGCTCATTATAATTTATCAAGTATTCTAGATTTTATATAAATAATAAAAATATAAATAATATGAATTTAATTTCCGAAACTCGTTTTGGCGCCCCCTAAGGCGTGCGCCCGCATTTTTTGCATGCATCGCATGCAAGGCAGGACCGGCCCTGCATGTACATATATATTTTCTTAGATTACATTACGTACATTTACTAAACTGCAGCATTAACCGTGCAAAAATTCGAATTGTAGGTATGTACATAATAGTATGTATTATAAATTAGTCGCGGTGGTAGTTCGGGTAATCGCGTATAATTGCAAATCCGTATAAAGTCCGGATAAACGAGGTTCTACTGTACTAATATCACTTTTTAGTTAGAATTCCATATGAAAATTATAATTTAAGCTATAGTTTTCTATGCAGTGTTCTACATTACGGACTACCTGGTATCAAGCAGTTATGTCCATTTTCACTTGGAATTATAGATTAAAAATATGTTTGCAAGGCATTTATTCATAAAATAAAATACAATATATTGTAATCACTCACAATAATTCTATTAATAAAAATCTATCAAATATAAATTGGTAAAAGGATAAGTTCGATCGCAACTGGTTAAAGGACGGAAATTCTGATAGCTGTAAATATGAGAATATAAAAAAAACAGTATTATCAATTAGTGAAAAAAATAATAAAAACCAATAAATTCGTTAACACAGGTTTTATTTTTACTCTTATAATTAGTAAATCTAATAAGTTTTTGATGTGAATCTTTCAAGTAAGACGTTGTCTAGTTTATTGGCAAAGTAATTAAAAAATGTATACATATTATGGAAATCTATTGTAAAACCGAGATTTTGATCATTATACTATGTATCAGTAGTTTTTTTCTCAATTCTTTTAAGACACGTTCATAGGGCTGAATTTATTTTGATATAATGAGATAAATGTTTTAATTAAATTTGTCAATTGGATTGAATGAAATGATAACACTTTTTTTTTATAGGTGCGTTGGGCCGACATAGAGGAGAAACGTGCTCAAGAGAAAATGCGTGATCGTGGTTTTGTAGTTGGCCAGACAGACTGGAATAGAATGATGGATCCTACAAGCGGTCAGTCTGCTCTAACTCAGACCAAATATATTGAACGCGTCAATAAATCTATTTTCTAAAGATCACATGCCATGTCTCATTCAACCATGCACGAGATCTATCAAGATACTGTAAGTCGCTATAATGTATAATAATATATGAAATGAATTTTATGTATGATTTTGTTTTTTGATTGAATGATATGATTTATAAATTTAAAACTATTGATGAGTGTTTTGTCATTTGTTATTACAAACTATTTTTCGGATAATATATTTGTTTTCTTCATGCGTTCATGAAGAGCACATGGAACATCGTTCAAAGTATTCGTTGCTTTGCGTATTATCAACATATCAAACAGTATTTTTATGTGTTTCATTTTATAATTCACATGAATCGAGAATAGTCTTGATATTAAAAATTGGTGTTTGGAAATTTGGAATATTTCATCATTTATGAAGTCGTCATGAAACATTAATCAATTGGAATTAGTAGTATATAAAACAGCTTGTATGATATACCATGCAGTCACGTTTGAATATGCAGACAACTTTTTTTTTAATGATTGACAATTGATTTGTCAATTGTTTATATATTGACGAGCAGCTACATATCAACAAATCCGATGTCTTGTAATAGTTATTGTTCAGTAATGAAACAAGTCGTGGGCGGTAAATGATAACCATTATTTATTTTGATGCATCATTTTAATTTACCTAAATAGAATAATATTTCATAGTACATACAATGTGTTTCTTCAATTAAGATTTGAGTTATCCGCGACAATATTTAAAATCATATTCTCTTAATATAATAATAAACGCTATATTTTTAAAATATAAACTGATCGATATTCCTACTGATTAATGTTATTAGACTTCAATTTTTGGCTAGTTTTCAGTTGAGGCCTTAATAAGTCTCCCACATGTGTTTTTTATGAAAAGCACGAGGAAATAATTTTTTCACAAAAATATCTTTTTTATTGCACTTATTACTTACTAATTTCGAATGAAATTATAATGTAATATGAGTAAGTAAAGGTGTTTTTTCCGACTTGATTATAACTTTTCACGTTTTGCAAATCACGAGATATTTAGGTATTTAGATACGTAATGATTCTCTTATATTGACTTTTATATATGTTAATGTTATGAATTTTTTGCTACTTCAAGAAGGATTTTTCACACATGTACCAGCTATCATATGTACATATTATTTAAACCTATATCATGCGTGTTAGTCATACTGGAGACGAATATACAATTTCGTTCAAAATGTGCTGTTCTCATATATTATAATGTGAACACATAAAACTACTAATCAGCCAATAGCAATTTGTTTTTCATGATGTATAAATATATTGGCGTTTTATTATATGAAAATTTATTTTTATTTTCATTTAATGAAACATAATTGAGTTTACATTTAGAAAACAAATTGTATAATTAGGATCCTGCTCATAAAAGTATTGGGATTATGTATTAATATTTTTTATTATTTTTCTAAGAGTGACATTTATTTTTTGTAATATTACAAAGTTCGACTAACTCTCGCGAAATATTATTTTATTCTCCTCATTAATTTTTGTAAGCATTTGAGAAACTACTCAAATTAGAGGTTTGTTTGTTTAGACATTTTCGTCAATTTTAAAATGCATATTTGGATTGCATTTTTGAAGTTTTTGCATTATTCAAACATCTATTGAATGAATATTATATAGAAGAATTATTTAGTTTTTTGTTGGTGGAAAAAGTTATTTCTTTCTTCAAAAATTTATTTGTTGGAAATATGAAATCGTATTGAATAATAGTGGAATAATTTAGGTAATATGAATTTAAAACTATCACATGCACTTTGTACAAAAATGTCAGCAGTTAATGTTCTTATGTTTATTAATATTTTTATATGTGTAAGTAATAAATTCATTGTAAAGCATCCTATTTACATGTGTATTTTGTTATATTCCTTTAGGTTTGAAATTTTCTTCACAAAACGGGCAACATATTTAAAACATTTTATTAATTACATTTATTAATTATAAAAGCGTAGAGTAAAATAATTTCTATATAAATTGGAAATTAATTATTTTTGTTCTATTGGTGGCGATATTAAACCTGCATGTGTCAAACGTATATAATTTATAAATAGATTTCACATTCTTTCATAAATAATTTTTTAATGAAATTTCGCTACTATGTATCGAATTATCTAGTTTAATACAAATTATGGGCTAACATAGACAATATTCGGCATACAGATTTTAGCAAAATTTTCTGAAATCTTTAATATTTATTTACAAATTGATAAATATGTATTTGACTTAAAAATCATCATGATAATGGAAAGCAAAATATTAATATGGTTATAAAACAACAGTGATTGATTTTTTTTCACCTATCTCTAGTATTTTTCAATGAGTTTATTTTTGCTTATCTCGTTTTTTGGAAACCTGCATCGATTCATCGATTAATCTTTCTTCGAGTTTTGTGGTTGTTTCCCTCTGTGGATTTTGGTAATAGTAAAGGAATTTTCATGATCAGTGGAACTTTCACTCTTAAATCTGTCATTTGCGGTTTGAGTAGGCACTTCGTTCTTTAGAGCGACTTCGTTTTGAAGTTCTATTGCTTTCTTTTGTGCCGTCATGACTGTGACCTGCAGTAACAAAAATAATTTATGATATAAGTCGATTTGTTATAACAATATAAGTTAACCAGAGGCACAATATTATGCGTATCCATAAAAATAAAATTACAAATTTCATATCTTCATAGAACTATTTTTTTGAATATATGTACCTACTACATTATTCTATGAAATATACTCGTAACATATATACTCGATCATTAATCCTAAAATATAAATGCATGGTTTTTATAATTGTACACTACTACAAAGTGCATCGTTTTCGTTGTAGTCAAGACTGGTTACCGTTGTACCACTTTTTATCAGCAATACTTTTGTTAATTTACCAGTTAGCTGGGAGAAAAGTAAATTAAATGGTAATTTGAACATTTGTATACTAGGAAATACTGTAATGCTGTCCTTAAATACGATGGATTAGTCTAAAATCAAATCATACGGAAAAGGGGCGAGTGTCACAACCGACCACACCCGAGGAACGGTTGTGACAGGCATAAAATTAGGTTAAAAAATAATAGCTATAAACACAACAATGGTTTATAACGACTTTTATTGTCAAAAATATGTAAAACAACAAAACATAATTATTTAAACAAAGCTTATGAATATAACAATATATAACAAAACATAATTTTTTAAACAAGAAATCTTTATGAAATCATTTATTTTCTTCTACTGAATTTTATTTCTCATTCTTTTTCGTATTTAGTCTTAGATAAGTTAGATTTTTCTTTATTCGTTTAAATGCCACCCAAAAAGGACAAGAAATACATCTCACTTCATATACATGTCACATAAAGCAAAACTGTTTGCTGTTAATTATCTACTAATATTCAACTTGCAGCAAAATAACAAAGTGATCTACAAGTATACAAGTAACAGTTTAATATTGTAAGAAATCTAACAAAGAAAACGTATTTGGCTCTTTAAAAGCTATTTGGTTTATAGATCATGCTGATGTACGTGTTCGAACAAATATACTTTATCTTTCTCCCTTTGGACTCTATCTCAAAATCAGTATAGTTTAGCTGTGACGACTGTCACTACCGTAACTTGTCATAACCGTATCCAGTCTCCCATATTTTACATTATGCACGTTTTTTCAATTTGCAAGAATGGGAGCATAGTTTTGATGTTATTTACCTCTGGTCCCATAGAATTCATGTGATCTCTCAAGCATTGTTGTAAAATATTCAGGAAAAACATAAATGCAAGGAGAGTGAGTGCTGATAGTGCTGCTCCACTTTTGCCTCCGCCGCTGTGATGTTTATAGCTAAAAAGACAATTTTTACATCATGCAAATTTTATTGACATATTCATTGTAAATAATTTTATTTTTACAATTTAAATCCGTTGTTTAATGATTATCATTCACAAATTATTTCAAAAATTTATCTCAAATGAATGAAAACTTACACTAGCTAGATATTGAAATGCAAAAGAATATTCTGCCTGATTTATCAATTGTTTGGAATTTTTATCTAAAATAACAGCTTATCACAAATTATTTTCTTTTACCTGTGGCCTCCTTTTTGTGTTGCATACTGATGTACTGGAATTCCTGCATATGCGTGCCCTTGGTGTGGTGGCTGTTGATATGCCTGATACGCGTGGGCTGGATATGTTTCTGCGTATCCAGATCCGGCGTGGCCACTGTATTGCATACGGTCGTTCATAGGCTGTAAATTGATTATTTTGGTACTTTTGTTAACTATTTTGTTGATTGAAAATGATGTACTATTTTTTTAAAATTTGTCTGAAGTGGTTTGTAGAGAAATTTTTGAAGCAAATTAATTTTGCTTTATTTTACATATGAATGCATGTTATATATATATATATATATATATATATATATATATATAAGGTTGTCAAATATCTCCCTTCCGCTTTTTGCTCTTGGTTTAATAAAAAAGGCGGAAGGGAGATATTTGACAGCCTATAATATCTACTGATATTCCGTTACGTTAGACACAACTATAACTATTTTGACAATGTTCATCGTTACGCTTATTTAAATCGCAAAAATCGAAAATAGTATTTAACTTCCTCAAGGAGTAGTTTGTTTATATCAGAAAATCCGATATGTTTATTTTGTGCATTCTCGCCGTTTCAAGTAATTCTGAATAGGTTGACACCAAAATTAGGAAATATTTGACCATTCATAGAACTTAGCCATTTGATGGAATTATTCTATAAGGACTCGCATTGATTAGTTTTGCAAGATAATCCTTTTCTTTAGGATTAGCAGTAATATTTTTTGTCAACGTTTTTACATTAAATCCGGAACCAATTGACAATTAGTTTTGATTAATTTGTGTTTAGTTTTCTTTTTTTTTTTTTTGTAAAGATCGGCTTAAACGTTTTCTTCGAATTCGTTAAATTTTTGTGTTATGTCGATGGGGCCCTATCGTGGTACTCAATTTTTAATTTATATAATTTT